TGTGTGTTTTAATAATTTTATATTTAAGAACTTGGCTAAGAACTAAGCATTGCACATGCCCTTACAAGTTGCACCGAGACGGATACGGAGACAAAAACGGGGACGGGAATGGGGACAGGAAACGACAAATTGAAAAATATAGGGATACGGGTACGGCATGGATACATCAACAAAAATATATAAAAATATACATAAATGTAAAAATATGAACTAAATCATACATAAATCTCAACATTAAAAAAAAACTTAGTATGAATAAGCTTAATCACTAAACATTCATTTTTAAAATACAATTTAACTAGTCATGTAGGTGAAAAAAGTGAAGAAATAAAGAAGCGAAAAACGAGGATAGTGTGATTAGCGTTCAGATAATTAAAAACCTAGTAACCTAGTTTAAATGATACACCGATTTTAAAAATTTAAGTATATTTCTATATGGGGACATCAATTTTGAATCCAAAACGGCTTGGGAAACGTCCCCATTACTTGCTATTGTCCCCGCATTGTTCAAAACTTTTTTGGAACGTTTCCGAGCCGTCCCCAAACCGTATGGGTCCCCGAAACGTCTCCCGGTACGGGTACGTAACCCCAAATGCCGTCCCTGTGCTACCTTACAACATCACTGACATCGAAAAACATTAATGTAATCATTGTGTACTAGATTGTTTTATTTCTCAACGAATCAAATCATGCATCCAAAAATTCAACATCATTGAGTAGGTTTATTAGTACGTCAGACCATAAGGTTGCATGAACATCAAGACTTCCTTCTTCTACCCCCCTAAAAAGGGCGAGTTTGCCACTCGTACTATTGCTTGGTCCAGACCGAGCTGCAATCGGTTTACCCCAGCCGAAGTCATTATCATACACTTGGAACCAAGGTGAGCTTGTGACGGACACAAAATCACTAACCGGTCTATTTCCAAAGCCAAATTTTGGGATTTTTACTTATTTGCAAAGCAGCCCATCCCACGCCACGATCCAGCAGGTCTCCGACAGTGGCTGTGGCTATGCCGAGGTGGACCACATTCCCGAAACACCCTTCCTCAAGCCGAGGGTTTAGCCTCTGCCTAAAGTCTGCTGTTACTCTGCACTGGATCTCTTCTTCTCGGTCTAGACGACTGTGCTTGGCGATTGATCGCCATAGATGTCCCAAAACCGCTTGAAAAGTTGAGATATTTTGGTCACTTGAACTAATCTCGTAGTTAGCTTTAGCTTTGAGAGCTGAAATATGCTTCTTTGTGAAGTGAAAAACTCTCTCTTTCGTAAAGGGCACAGAAGAAATTTCACGGATAGGTGGTGGTGACCTCTCTGTCTCTGATACCGGAATATGAATCGGGTAGTCAATCCCGTCGAGGAACCATCCTTTGAGAACTAGAGGCTTATGATCCGAACAAGAACCATTAGAGCAAATCTTCGACCAAGTGTGGAAGAAATTCCATATGGAAACACCATCTGCCACCATGTGATTGTAAACGAAACTAATGAAGACTCGGTCTTTCATCTCGGTGACTTGTATAGCAAGTAAGGGGTCCGAGAGACCGTTTATGCTCTTGACGTCGTTCACGGGGAAGAAACACCTGAAAAATTCTGGAACAGAGCCATTAGGTTGAAGAAGATCGCTTACCGAGACAGATTCGGCCCTGGCATGGACAAATTTGGCACCTAAGCCATCCTTGCACTCGATGTAAAACGACACCGTGTTGTCTTCATGATTGTTCACTTTGACAAGACGACCGGCTAAAGGAAAGTAGATCTCTAGAGCTGTTGAAAGAGAGGTCTTTAACCGAGAGATGAAATGGGTCTTCGGGTCGGGGTTGGGGAAGAGAAGACCTCTTTGAGGGTAATCGAGGTAAAGAAGGCTAAGATCAGATGGAGTGAGATGGATCTTTGCCCGACCTGATTGATCGATGTTAGTGGGTTGAACAATGCTCGACGAAATCACTTTCAAATCTGCCATCTTTTTCGGAAACCAAAAAACTTAGTAATACCATACTAAATCATTGATAACCACATGAAAGAAAACTCGTAGCCTTATCTTTAAAGCTTGACCTCATGCACCGTACAATGGTATTGGAAAATTATTGATGTCTGAATTGACCACTTAAAGTGATTTTAATTGCTTCAAACTTTTGTATCTAGACCATGTTCAATTTCATTCAAGTGTGAAATGATCTAACCATTCCCATTAGGCTTGTCGAAATGATGTCACATTCTAGGCCCATCAGAAAACCTGATGAAAGGACTACTCGACGGGTACACTCATCCTAGGAGATTAGTCGGGTGGTAAAAGTCCGGATTACCCTATGGTTAAAAAAGAACAAAAAAAATTAACCGCAATATTCACTACAAGAAAACAGGGTAGTTTCCGACGACGGTGGTAACCGACGGATTTCCGACGGCACTTTTGCCGACGGATTTCCGACGGCTACGCAAACCGACGGAATTCCGACGGAATTCCGA